TGTGTTGAAACCTCTTTGGGGCCAGGATGGACTCCTCCTGGTTTGAATTATGCCAGCCTCTGCTTGGTTCTACAACATTTAGTGTTAAGTCTCTCAGCATGACGTCTACACATTTCTTGCAGCACCGCGGGAAACTTCTGTCCTTCACCTTTTGATCTGGGCTAGATCAAACTCCAGCTGCTGCCTGATGATAGCAGATATGATGGTGGTGCTGCTGCTAAAGCTAAAGCATGCCAAAACATTGGATCCTGTTCTTTTATTCTCTGGGAGACTTTAACCAACTTACAGCAGCAAACCTACAGAGACGCTCCTGGTGGGAGGCTCTACAAACAGTAGTCGCACTGACGCAAGATGTGTGTTTTGTTTGTTGTTACACTTCCTGGAGTGTGTGAGCGGCTCCACTGCTGGGGTTAGCTGTCACATGCTGTGGTAGAGCAGCCAAGAATTCAGAATTTGTGTTGTGGGCAAAAACTCAGAGGGTAAAGTTTAGACTAACAGTGGAAAGAAGTGTATCCACACACACTGTCAGTTGTCTAGTGGGTGATGAATGAGAAATAAAATCTATAAATTTGGAGAATCACAACAAACCAATGGAATTTTCACTGATCTGTGGACTTCCTTGTCTGGGACACTGTGACTGCTTATTACTCCTGCAATGAAGCATAAAACAGGCACTGCAGGATCATGTGGTCCAAATCCATTTTTTGGGCATAAGTGACTCATATATGATTTCCTAATGACAAAATATCAGTTTGAACAGTCCTGTTGAATTTCATCTGACTTTTACATTACTAAAGTGAGGCAGAAGTCACTGATCTGAGCAGGAAGCAGAGTGGACGCAGCATATACATAAGATGCAAGTAATAAAAGAAACAGTCACTGTTAAAAGAGCTAGTCTGGGGAAAGAAGTCGATTATACTGTAGTTTCATTGTTGACTGGACCTCAGGTGGCGATAGAGAGGCCGACACCGCGTCAGGTATGTGATTGCCTATTTTACTTTTCTATTTTAATATCCTGAGTCAGAAATGCATATTAGTGTGTCATTTGGATGCAGCCTATATTGCATTACATTTGTAATGACATTTTGAGCACCTTAAAAAAAACTGTAATTAAACAATGTGTTTTTAATGTTCATATACAGAATGTCTGTCTTGATAACAGTGAATACCAATTCCACATTCATATTTGTCCTCTGTCATAATGACAGTACTTGACAGAACTTGTTAACTTAAATAGATATATGTAGAGGTCTGGAGTTCTCCATTAAGTTATTTCAAGTCTCCTGTGTCCGTGAAGGCTCTTGATGTAAGACAAAGGCAGTTTCATCCTTGAGAATATTTCACATCTCGTCGGTGAGTGTTCTTCTGACTGACTCGTAGGAGGCTGTAGATATTTAGTCTCAGTGGTGTGATAAACAGGCCAGAGAGTCATTATGTATAATCACTGCCCTGTCAGGTATTTAGCCTCGCTCTTTGTTTGGTGGTCAGTGAGCAGAGACAAGGAAGACAGAAGTTGAATATCACCCTCTGATAGTAAATGTCACTTTAGTTTAGAACTTTGGTCCCAATCACTTTAAATGGTTTATGAAATATAAGGCTAAACAGCTATTTGATTCTTTTACAGTGAACAATTACAAAAATTATTCATTTTAACATCATACTTTTGAATGCCAAAATCATGCACATATCACAAACAACAATCTCAACATGCCACCTGTAAAAGGCTGACATCATAATCAGTGGCCTGAGTTCTCCATCTGAGAACTCAGGCCCAAAATATTTGTCAGACCAACAGTCCGTATCTTAATCCAAACAGAACAAATGTTATTTCACATCTCAGTAGGCTTTACAGGCAAAGACGGAGGCAAGAGACGAAATAAAATATCATAAAAACATATAAATGCTGAAAAGGCAAACCAGAGCAGATTCAATTCATATTCGTAGATTTAATACAAAAATACACAAAACTTGGACTTGGTCAGACCACATGCTGCTCAACTTCTTACAGCACATAGCTCGTGTGCAAAGCCAAACCAAATAACACAATATTAAAGTTGCAGACAAAAGGAGAAGCGTATTCCAGTGAGTTGTGTCTTCGGAGAACAACACAGTGGAAGATTGATGACTATCATCATCATCATCTCCTCAGACCTTTTCAACACCATGGCTGCTTTACCTCCCCGCGCCCAGAGCAATACAACTGTGGACAGTAATATAAAATGATTAGGGCCGATATGGACATTTACTGAGGCTGCATTCATACACAGCAGGGACACAGATACCTGAAGTTCAAGAGGAAAGGTGTAGAAGGAGGGGGTGTGTGGGGCGGCAGTCAATTTCAAAGGACCTTTTGTCAAGGCCTTATTGAAATTCATCAATAAAACTGGGCCACCCTCAGCCTTTTCAGAAATAAAATTGTCATGCTAATTCATTTTGATTGCCACATTGGAATGGCTAAACAAAATGAATGGCCGGGGCCAGATGCGCCTGCTGAAGCGTAACTCAGGATATTTCATAGTGAATTACCCTTCATCGACTTGCCCCATGGATCCTGGCGCAAATTCCGATCAAATGCCGGCATGTGTGGAATTCCAATCACTGCTTTGCTACCTCATTGATTTGCATGCCAAAGAAGCTTCCATTAAAAACCAGTGTGAACAGCTACTTTGCTGACTTAAAAAATAAAATAAAAACAGAAAATAAATATACAGTCCTTCACGGAGAAATGTAAACTCTTCATCGTCTGCAGAGACGGGGGAATACTCTGAGAGAATGAGGTTTTGTTAAGCTTTTAGCGAGACCGTCACTTGAACTCAGGTACTAACAGTAGTTCCACACCATAAACAAGTTCTAAGTCCGCACTTTCACTTAAGATCAGCCACTTGGATAAAAACTGGCTCAGAGTTCAAAGCACAGAGTTGATGAGTGGATTAAATAAATGACAGATCGTATTGATCAAAAACCACAGACCACTGTATGGAGTGAAGGGAAGTTCTAACAAGCCTTCTGTTTTTCATGAAAGACAAGACTCTAGTGTATGAGGAGGAAGACAGTTTCCAATCAGCCATCTGGACACAGGGCCCTGGGCTCCACTGAGCTAAACATGCTTGATCTGTCTCTCTCTTTTTTCTGTCTAACTGTCGTTCGTCATCATAATAAAACACACTTCCAATGACTGATAACACACTACTTGACACTGGCTCCTTCTTTCTGACGTGGTATTAGAACAGCTATGAAATGTAATATTCATCCAGACCAAACCAATATCTTTTTGCATCCTTAGTCAAAACCACTGCAAGTTCCAGGAGATGAAAGATTAATTTATACCAATATTACATGAAACATGGATGAAGTTATAAAATACTGCCTTCAATATATCTATAATTGCCTTTGAAATCTCTATAATAGAGTTTTTATCGCCACCTAAGTCGATTTCCATCCAGCAAGCTATTTTAGGTCTGCATCACTTTTATTCAGAATAGGAAAAAGAATGCCGTAAAAGGACTTAACTGTAGCCCAGATAAGAAAAAAATAAATAAAAGAAGCAAAAAAGGAACAACTATATGCTATTGCAAAACAAGTACAACATTAGCCTGCCCTGAAGACTGCCCACAAAAACGCCTACACATTTCTCTGATATTAAGATCATTTCCTACAATGTTCTGTACCACGGCTTACATGCAGATGTATTAGTAAATAACTATGTTTTGTGTTAAAGTCACATTAAACTTTATGACCTAAAACCTCATAAGCCAATGTCACACTGTCAAGTAAAATAATGTGAATTCAATTTACTTGAGTGCAGCATCAACTTGGCTTCAGTAAACTGGCAGCATGATTAAAATGCAAAGCCTAATTTTCAGACAATCTTGTCAGGAGCAACCAGAAGCTATGTTTAAATTGAGAAGGTGGAAGCATGAGAGCTGAGAGGGTTCCAGCAGGGGTGGGTGACTACATCCTTCCTCCTGTGCTGCTACTGAGTCCTGTCAGAAAATACTTTTCGCGTTTCAGGACTTTGGCATCAAGACTTGATAGAAAAACCACAATCAGCCAAAAGTCTATAAAGAAACCAAGTGTGTAGTGCTCTCAAAAATGTGGGATCAATTTCAGACTTTGTTGAGAAAAAAACAAAACAGATTTAGTTTATCACTGTGTTTTATAAAAACTCTTTTCTTTCTCTTCAGCTACTACAATGCCTCTTAAAAACTTCTGTGACAAAGAAACATATCTGGTTTAAATATTTTCTCTATTATGTTGTCATTTTACAAGGTCATTGCTTTGTTCAAGCCACCACAGTAGAGAGAAAATTGTTTCTTAGTTAATCATGATTATTTGTTAATAATCGATCACGATTAATCACGATTATTCATACTAATCTTCAGCTATCCAAACATTATCAGATCAAAAAGGTAAATTGTTTGACAGCCTTAATATAAAAAATGTATGATTATCCTCAATAAAATCACATTAACAATAATTACAATTTGTAATAGTTATCATCATATCTATCTGCAGACTCTCATATATGTCATATATGTGTGTGTGCATCTGTAGAGAAGCAGACAAAGGGTCACCTTTTCAAAGTACTATCACATTTTAACACCTTTACTTCCTACAACCATGTTCCTACTGGATGACACAGCTCTCCTCTTATTTAAATACCAACTAAATATTCAACGTTACAGTCATGTGGAGACTAAACAGCAAATACTGTATACATATACAGTTAGACCAAGCCACACAGTGGTCAATGTGGTGACAGCTTCTTGACCTTACAGCAAGTTCACACAAAAGCCTTTTTTGTCATTGAAAAGGACAGCAGTGCAATGCAAATAAATGAGGTTAGCCACTTTAGCACAAATCCCCAAAACAAACGTGCTCTAGTAACAAATCTGAGCTAGCAAAACAATAAAAAAAATGTACCTCAGTATATCTAAGAAAAGTGTTCAAGGCTAAATAAAACAACATTTTTTTAGTTGGTAGTTATTTGTTTGTCTCACCCCTTGTTTCATTCCTTGATGCTCCTTAATGCTTCCTGCTTCCTGCTTCCTGCTTCCTGTTTCCCTGTGCCCACACTTCCTTTTCCACCTGACTCCGCCTCCTGTGTTCTCATTGCTTAACCTTCCCCTCCTTGTTGTCGTATATCTAATATCTTATATCTATAAGATATATATATACCTTATATATATAAAAATATATATAAGAAAATATATATATTTTACAGTCTCAAAATATATATATATATCGTATATATATATATATACGATATATATATCGTCTATCTATACCTTCCACTTCCCTTTCAACCAGCTGCCTTTCCTTTGGTGACTTTCTACTGGAGCTGTTACAGACAGCCAACCAGTCAGCCTAGTTTAGTTCTAATATGGTCTTTAACTAAAGTTACATTTAATTAAAAAAATAAACAACCTAACTGCATTCATTAATTTGTGGAGAATAATCTGATTCAAATTTGTAATGCATTTTGCTCTATGACAATAATAATTAGATGTTTTTGGGAGGATTCAAATTTTACTTTTACATCATTTTCTTTTTATATTCTTCCATATTAATAATTCCATCATTTGGTTTATTCATGATTTAAAACAGGTGTGAAAACATACATCTACATGCTGTTATTTGTTCTTCTATCCAAACAAAATGCCATATTTAGGAATGAGAATTTACCATTATTAATCATGATTAATCATTATTATCCCACAGCTAATCTTTGATTTTTTAAATTGTTTTAAGTTGTTTGAAGGAGGTAAAAGAGTAGAATGAATGAATTCAAACACAGGTTTTTGTGACAATAGTTGAATCTAACCCTAACCCACGTATCATACCAACTATAAAGAAAGTTTGAGAGGCTTTGCACCAGTTACTGTCTATCTTCCCCCATCTCTCTCTGGTGTAGTTCAGCTGCACTGATTGGAGGCCCTCAGGGTATTGATTGGGCCCGGCTTAAGGCTGTCAGACTGATGAGAGACGTGATTCATGAAGAGCAAACACACACCAGCACACACATTTAGGCAAGCGCAAGCACACACTTTGACTATATGGGTAGAAAGCATCTACGCACGGAAGAGAGCATCATGCACTGACGCACAAAAGCAAAGACATGCACACGCACATGCACACACTCAGAACTCTTGGGAGTTCCTCCTGACACCCTCAATCTGTCACAGCTAAAATCAAGAGGACCTTGTCTTTGAAGGCTACGATGGTACAGTGAGCTCAGCAGTGTTTGAACTAATCAAGTCTGGCAATGACATACTGCCTGCAATGACAGACATGGTCTTTTTTTTCTTGCACATACCTCACAGTTGAGAATATCTAATTTCGCTGGTTGGCTGCAGGCACTGGAAAAGGGCAAGTACAGATCGGGCTAAATCACAGAACTGAGGCATGACATACACGGACTAGGACGGATAGCTGTAGGTTGGCAATCTATATTTTTCTGACAATAATTACATGGCTGGTAATGATTTTTCTGTTCTTTCTGCAGTCATGTTTTCTTTGCTATTTGGATGGAAAAATATTGTTTGATCCATTCGCTGCAAAGTACGACAGAATGTGTAGAACCACCTACTGTCTTTGCTCGCAAAGACCAATCCGTTAGTGATTGCTCCTGTTCTGCTCCAAATCTGAGATCCTGAGTTTTGATGTCAGCAGTTTTCTACTAACAAAAACCTACGAACCTCCAGGAGTGCTACTGTTTGTTTGTATTTTTGTGAAGCACACATTTCTGGAAAATAGAAAAACTGAATTAAGCATTTAATTAATTAAGCATTTACTTAACTAATCTGTCAGTGACAGAACGTTTAAAGTACACATACAGTACACCTATGGTAAACACTTTTCCAGGGTTGACTTCTTTTTTTAATCATTTGTGAATTATAGATCATATGTTATGAGTTTAACAAACTGTGCAAATCACACTCATTTTAATGAAAACAAATTTATGATGAAGATTACTCCAGCGTGTTCCTGACTGCAGCATGTGAGTAGGTATGAACACTGTGTCATAGATTAAGTGCTGCTTTCACCCAATAAACGAAAGGGAAAACTGTAGTGGAGTGTACTGAGTAGTCATCTAGACCAGAACATTTCCATGTAAGAGCGGAGCATTAACTTTTCCAGTCAACAACATAATCACACAGACAATTTCCTGCAGCTTCAGTTTTGTTTATTTCCTTGTGCATATTATCTTTACTGAAGTGGACACGACCAAATGTTGTCCTTGAACAGAGAGCGCTGTTTCCAGACATTAAACGAGGTGTGTGTACTTGACGCTAACCATTATGTGTCTCCGTGTTGTGGCCCTTAATAAAATCCACATTTGTCCTCTTGCCTATGTGAGTGCCCAGTGTCCTCCATGACATTATTATCTTTGTGTGTGTGCGTGTGTGTGTAGGTGTATGTATGAAGCAGTGTTGAGTGGCCATTTTTTCCAAAGGCGATACGTGTTAAAATAAACCAAACCGTCCTCAGCGGTGGGCCTGTTAATTGTCAGCACCACACGCAGGGCTGAGGATCAGTCAGACAGATGCAGCAGGAAGCCGTGGTGATGAATTGACCCTGGTGTTAAATGGTGTCACTTAACCTTCTAAAAATTCGATAAACAACTCACCCTTCATGGAGATCCATAGCCCCATCACACTAAATTTCCTGCCGTGGAAGTGGGTCAACGACCAAGTCTGACCTCTGATCTCAGCTGCATCAGGATAAGACAGGTCCAACACTCACAGAGACTCCACCAGTGATTGCTCTTATAATCTTATTCCTGAGACTAAATATTCCACCATAGAGTTTTTGGTATTCTCTGATCACAAATAACCTAAAATAGATGGATGCCTTGAATTGAATGGGTGGTATCACTCTGAAGTAAAACTCTATGCAAAGGGTTTTACTTCAGAGGGATGCAAATTAATAGGAAAATAACAACACGTGGCTAAGAAAGACGTGCTTCATACATCAGCACGTACGGCGGCCTGTGGTTCATCCACAGTCTAATTAACGATCAACAACCATCCACGATGTCATCTTCTGTCAGGCCATAGACACAAGACTCCATCACACCTTTATTCTCTCCACCAATGTACTTTACATTTTCTAGGCCTAAATGGGTCGAGCAGAGTCACCAGGACTACTACAGAGCTGTGGTCTAGTCCCACAGCAGAGCCTACCTCAGTTTCACTGTGTATTTCCCCAACTAAGACTTTGACCTAAAAACACACTGTGTGGGGACTGTGTACAAGGTATTTTCATAAATCCCATGCCAGCATAAAATATAGCTCTTAGATGACGTAAGGTGTGGGTCAGCTGGGATTCACAGCATGTGTGTAGCACGACTAACGAAGGCCGCACAAACACAACAGCTGGGTCAGACTGTTCATCAGGAATGGACCGAACAACAGAACTGATGACGTGGAAATAACATTGAATGAATGGATGGAGGTCTGTGGGAACTAATGACACTAATGACAGCAAACCTAATCTAAAGGTCTTAGTCACTGTTTTTGATGTTAATAAAATATCATTTTAATTTCTCAAATTTATTACATTAGAGACAAAGACATGACCAAACATTATCTGGGTTTCAACTGAAAAAGTTTGTTAATACCACTGGACTCCTATTGGTTGGTAAAGCTGTCATTGACACCCTTAAATGTCTCCTGCTTTAGTGTAAAAATAAGTTGAGAATGAGGTTATGTTCTGGACACTTACATATGGAGTTACTCCCTTGTTCTTGTGTTGGGCTTCACTGATGACTAAGGACTGATCTCCCCACTGCATATATGGGCTGTTCTTGAAATCACTCACTCATTCCCTACTCCCTACATATGGAATAATATATAACGCACTATATAGTGGATTTACAGGTTAAATGACAAATGGTTTTGGACACTACTTCGACAGACAGTAAAGTCATTACTGTCGCACAATGAAAATGGACAGAGAGATTCTGGTCCTCTCTCCGCCATGTCGTCATGACTGCAAAGCATGATAGGATATATTGCTTAAGTAGTCTACACTAGATTTTGTGATGCATTGTGGGTTGCATGCCTCCTATAGTGCACTACGTCGGGTCTAGGGGGTGGTTTCCATCACAGTCACAGTGGATGGTCAGACTGCTCCATGCTGTGATGCATTTGGTGATCGTTATGTGTTTAACTGCCGGAGAGAATCAGCTGAACTGTTACAATAATAAAGTCCTGACGGGGACACGCGGCGGACTAACGACACTGAGGCGTGTCATCGTGCAGTGTCACTTGTTACTAAGTCACATGGTCTGGCTGCTTCATGACATTATCATCATCAAAGGTTATTATATTTATTAATCTATGCTGTTGGTATGTTGTATACACCGTAGGCTGATGTTGTGTGACTAAAGCAGTAAAATCACTTCTTTTTTTTTCGTTTGTGTATTTCAGAGCTATGTACACCTCGAGCTCCTCCTTCTGCTCCTCGGCCCACTTTCTCTCCCTCGCTTCTCTGTCGAGCTTTCTTTTTCTCTCTCTCTCATACACACACACACAACCACACACACAACCACACACATGAATCGACTCTTGACAATGACTCATCTGTCATAGTTAGACACAGTGTCTAAAAACAACACCATGTCATTGCTGCATCACGGTGTAGGACAGTGAGAACACTTCAGTTGGTCCTTCATCTCCTCTGATGTCTGTAACACAACACTGTAGCACAATACAACACTGTCACACAGGTCTTATCACCAGTTTCTAAACATTGTCAAAAATAATATTAAAACACAAATTTACATGTCGGCACCTTCACATCCTGTGAGTTTTTTCAGCAGTTTGAAACAACCTGTCACCTACACCTGTGTTTTAATTCCATTCTGGAGCAATTTAGAACCAAGCCCACTGTTACTGCATTTAGTTTTTAGGTCCAGTGTTGTAAGTTTGGTCGTCTGTGTCTGACTGTCGCCTGGACCTGACCTTAACCCAGAGGTGGGCAATTAGGTCCACAAAGGGCCGCGGTGGCTGCAGGTTTTTGTTCCAACCAAGCAGCAGCACACCTGACTTTAATTAATGGTTTAATTAATCAATTGCTATCAGTCTTCAGACAGCTG